TATGTATATCTTTCCACAAGTAATGAATATCTTCAGACTAAATAAGAGATTAGTTAAAACAACTGCTTATACTTTCACTGAATGGAGTCTATTGCTTTAGAAATACGTATAGCATGTAGCAATTTAAAAATGCATAGAGAATACTATAGCACAAATTTTAATGCGTTTAATCAAGTGTTTTTTGACTGTATGTATGATGGATCCATCGATAAACTCCGGGAAACGTTGCTTTACCCTTTTCATTTCTATCTTTTCGTTTAGAAACAATAATGGTTTCTAACGGCACTGTATTCTCTTGAGTAGTGAACTACCAGAAAGAATAATGGATTCCAATGGCACTGTGTTTTCTTAGATAACGAACTATCAGCGATATATTTTTGTATTTTCTACATTTGACTACGATTTTGTGGAACGTTGCCTCTGCGAGTGGGTCTTCCCTTAGCCTATTGTACGCAAGGAGACATTGAACAGGAAATCGTATAGAGAAATTGGTTTTCCCGGAATTTGTGTCGGACAGGTATCAAGTATTGTCGAAGACGAGGATTCCTTTATGCGAAAAGATACGCGCGTATACGCAACTGTCGCCTCGGTTGGCGGACTGTGCTCTCCGCGTTATTTCTTTGTTCGCAAGAATTCGAGGATCGATCGGGATTCGTGCCAAAAGGGACTTTCCGTTTTCTAGGGAAGATAAATTGTAAATTCCTTGGAGACGGCGAGAATAATGAAAACATACCCAGTACTATTTTTTGGGTTCGTAGAAGTGTGTGGACCGGCCAAGATACTTAATAAATTAACCTCTCAAGGGACGAATTTTAAATGAATTTATTTTTGCTCTAATCTAATACACACGAAACAAAGCAATTTTTATCTGTAATGCGGTTTTAACGTACAAATATTATGACTCACTTTAATATGGTACATCTTTTAATTCTGAAAAGTTTTGGGACCGTTAGTGACGGAATTCTTTTATAAAAGTAAACGTATATGTATGTGTCAATATCCTTCAAGAGATTAATAAAAGTCACTTCCGCCTCGTAAAAAGTTAAATTTATTGTTAGAATGTGTATTATTGTAGATATGTATTCATAAGAGAAAGTACGTAACAATGGGTAATAATCATATGAACATTTTATACAAAATGGATCAAATTGTATAGTACATATATGGAATGTA